TAGAAATTACAAGTTACTGTCTATCAGAGTGGATGTGGGAGGGGAAAAGGAGTGGTTTCACAGAGAGGGGCATGCCTAAACAGCAGATTAAATGATAGGTTTTGTTTGTTTCTTTGCTTTTTAAGAAAGGCAAGTCTGGGAAAGGGAATACTTATTAGAGGGAAGAGTATATGTAAAGCCCAGATGTATAATAAAGTGTGTTTTCAGGGAACAAAATGTAACTTAGTAAAACTCACTAAAATTGTAGATGAAACTGACAAGCTCTTGGAAGAAGCTAAGCGGAGGACTGGTCTTTGGCCATGGAGTTGGTTCCAACTCATGATGGCCTCTTCCTCTAGTTTCCAGGGCTGTAAATCTTGACAGGAGATCTAGCTTTTTCCATGTTAGTAATTAGTAAGAAAGGTCTTTCATTAAAAACAAGGAACTAAATATACAGCAGAGGCTTTCAATAGCCACAAGATGGAATGAGAGAAGGACAAATTAATAACAAGTAAAAGGATTACTAACCAAAACTGAGCAAAAAATAGGACTCTAAGGGCAACAGACAAGGTGTGGTCTGCCCATTGCAGTGCCCAGTATTGCTGATTAAAGGGTGAAGAATGTAGATTGTAGAAATGACTCAGAGTTTGGGATGTGTAGGGCAGGTGAAATGGTAAGAGAGTTCAGGGTGCTGTGGAAAAGCTGTGGATGTCGGTATAGCCATAAAGAGGCTAAAGGATTGGGAAGAAACCAAGAAGTCAAGATTTCAGAAGTCTCTATGAGACCAAAGATAAGGTGCTGTGAAAGGAGACTAGAAAACTGGCAAAGTATGAGCTTGTGGTCACAGTAAGGCATTAAAGAGTCTGGGAGAAGACCAATTTTTAAAAAAAGTTTAGAAAAATAAATGTATAGATAGGGATGCAAAAATGAATTAAAATCTGGCTTATATTTTGAAAATGTCAAATAAAAAAATTAATATATGAAAAAACAATGTAAATGAATAAAACATACTGTATATGGATAACTGTATGAAAATCAATTAAAAATTAAAATTAAAAAAAAGACAGACCCTGATTCAGAGGTAGACATGGGCTAAAGACCAAGTGGGGAAAATGAATTAATATGGTGAGGATAGAGGGTTGACCTGGAGAATTCTTAGAATAATTGTCCTTTTAAGACAATTTTCCTATTTTTATAGAGGCAACCCTTCGGGGGGGGGGGGGGAGGAACTGTCAGGCCCTGATTGAAAGAGGCTGAGAATCAGATGATACCAGCACTAGAAGAGTTACTGAAGGAAGCGGCAGTCCTCCACCTATTCATCATGTGTGACTTGTGTAGCCCTCCACAAAACTACACATACCATGATGGTTTTGTGAACCAGACATTGGAAGCTGTGCTGAGTGCAAGGCTGCCCCAAGCCATGGTGATATTGCCAAGATCCCTCTGGATCTGTTAACCCCTCTCATCACTGTACTATCCCTAGACCCTGGTGATGTCTTTGAGGCTACTCCTGCCTCAAGGCCCTCACCCAGATTATACACCCCATTCTATGGTAAAATTTCTGTCCTTGCCCTGTCTCATGGAACTTCTGTGTTTTCAGCTTCACGTTAACCTTTTCTAAACCATAGGTCCTTTGGCTACCCGATGAAGATCACACTAATGTCCAACAACAGGCTCCCCAAATGCATCAGATATATGGACAGCAGGGAGGCAACAGAACTGAGAGGCCCCAGTTTCTCAACCTACCCTATCACTGTTGGATATCAAGTTAGTACTCAAAGATAAGAACTACACACATCACATGAGGCTTATTGATGGGAAAGAACCAAGGCAGGGAAAATAAAGATTATTCATTCATTTACTCATACAACAAATATTTTTCAATACTATGAATAAGATGTACAAGTTCCATGCTTTTAAGAAATATATGTACTGAGGAAGATGGCAGAGGTGGAGAGCACAGTGTGAAGAGCCAGAGGGATAGCAGCCTGCGTAGAGAGGATACCAGAGAGTACTTTACGCTCCACAGAGACTGACCATCACAGC